TATGATGGTTTCTGTGGGATGCCTTGAATAGAGGAAGGTAATGTTGGTATTATTATATCAAATTTACCATTAATATTAAATTCACATTTTAATGCTTAGAAATGAGAAGTGAGTGGCCACTATATCACAGAATTTAGTTGTATTAAATAGATTTACTGTTGACAAAAGGAACACTCCGTGTATAATGAAGCATTTCTATTTACTTTTTAATATACCGCTGAAACTGTAGGGCATTAACGTTTCTAAGTATTTTGTTGCTCTGTAAAGCTACAAAATGATCCTAAAGAATCGCTTATATTTATCAAACTTACCAAAACCTTCAGCATTTCCAAAATATCATTTGTTCTTTTATTTAACTCAAGTTAGCTTTTAAAAGGTACATATTTCCTAAGGCAAGGTTTTCAGATGATATTTCATTTCAACATGGTGACTCAACATTTGTAAAACAGACAGCTTTTCTTGGAATAAATGAAGAAATACATACATACTGTGGAAATTTAGCCATTCCATATCTTAGTGCACTAAAAAGTATTGGTTCTTTTTTTTTCCCCTGTTGTTCACCTATTGAGACGAGCATAGCTGGAGAAAAATGAAAATGTATCAACTAGTTGTACCAATTCATAATCAATAAAAAACTGAACACTTAAGCAGAAAATATATCACAGATTTGTTCCCTAGCAAAGCTGTTATTTTTACCTTGCCATCATCATCAGAAGCCACATTCTGACAGAAATCATTTGCTTGAAGCAGCCACAATATATAAACCCTATGTGGTCTTGTGATTCAGATTTAGGAATATCAGCCACAGAGGGTCTAAAGGCATTGTGCATTAGTATGTATTGAGACCTCATTCCAGGTGGCAAGCAGCTGGACTTTTTAAAGATAAAACTTCCAAAATAAATGTGAAGTGCCTGTTTCTAGGCAATAAGTGTTATATTTAATTGAATCATCCTCAAAATGTATAAATTTGGCAGAAAAGGGAGTTGTGCATATTTAATGTATTTGTTTTGTATTTCCACTCGTCAACAGAATAATGAAATTCCTTAGCTACTTCTCTCTAACTTGCATGAAGAAAGCACGGTATGTTGCTAAATCTCTTTTCACCAGCACTGTGGAGAAACAACTTTAATCCTTGTTAGAAAATTGCCGAGTCTGGGACTGACAAAGAGCTCATGCTTGTTCCATTGTTAGTGCTCCCCGGCCCCAAGAGCAGAGCCCTTTTCAGCGGGCGTGGATCCCGCCTGGCTCAGCTGCACTATTTAGGAGAGGAGGTTTGTCAATTTCTATTGACAATGGAGAGAGTTTTTCAGGGCCTGTAGCAGTGCTAACACAGTTGGGGATCAATGCCAGCCATTCAGACTGCACCCTCTTTCATTGCTTTGGTTTGTTAATTCAAGACTAAAGGTCCACTGAGGGGGTTCAGGGTGTTTAAGAAAGCTGATGAACTGCAAGCGCTTATAGCTCTGCTGTGGCAATTTCCATAGTCAGTGGCAACTCTTGGCACCGAGGGAGCTGTGTCCTTGTTGACCCTCTTGTTATTAAAAATGCACAAGTGCTGCGCTTCTCAATATTTCCACACTCTTTCATTGTCAATACCACCTTCTGAGCCCTTCAGCTTGTTGCTCGCTCTAAAGATCTTCTTAGATTGGGTTTGAAAACTTCACCTTAAACACTAGATTAGACTGATGTTCTGTTTTCCGTGCTCCTGTTGATTTGTTGAACCTTCCCAGGGTTGGAAAGCAAGTAGCAGCTTGATGGGGAGACGGGCTGCTAATATGATTTACCAGTCTACAGTCATGCACAATAAGTGTGAATAAATACAGGGGTCTCACAGAGTCAACCCTAGCCTTTCCTTTTCTTTTCTTTTTGCTTTAAAAGAGATATCTCAAGAAAATGAAGTGAGTAATGCATGCCCTTACAGGAGCTGAATGAACCACAAGAAGAAAAAAAAAAAAGCATATTTTTTGTTAAAGTGGTAGGCTGCTGTCATGGATTGATGTAGAAAAAGAAAAAGTAGACTATACACTTATTGCTTTCTTCCTAAGTAGACCCAAACACAGAATGTGGCCCTAATGCCATGCCCAGGACTTCAGTGCGAGCCACAGCGCCCCTTCCTTGTCATCCCCTGAAGGGGAAAGTAAATAGTTGACCAAGTTGTTTTATAAAATTAACTTTTCCAAAATGAAAGGACATTTTCTGACATTCACACTTTACTGCACATTCACTCTTTTCAATTTTTTTTTCCTCTTTGTTTGCTTTGGGGGGTTGGTTTGGTTTGGTGGAGGGAGAAGCTAACCTACCTTTGACTTTTTTCTCAACATGAAAAAATAGGACCTAGCATACTCCACATCCAAAAGGAGAACACATCAATTCCAGCCCCAGAAATAGGAAAGTGCTAGTGATTTCTGTTTGGTGGTTTTGTCTGCTTGCTTGCTTGTTTGGGGGTGTCTGTGTGTATTTTACCATATACAAGAAAGAAGCAGTCCTATTGGGTTTTTTGTTGTTGTTAGCTTATTCTTAGTAGCAACATAAACTCTGAGCTAAGCTACTGTTTTCTCATTTGCTTGATTTATCTGCAATTCCTCCAAATGCTTTGATTTAGGAACCAAAAATATGCATTCTTGTCTGACAGAATAATTTCTCATATAGAATTTTTCTTATAGAATAATTCGTTTGCCTTTAAAGTTAGATGATGATAAAGTAGCTTAAACATTTTACTTAACAATAGTTCTCTTTTTTCTCTGTTTATACAGTTAACTTTAGATCATTTTATTCCCAAAGTACTTTTCTCTAAAATTATAATTTTGGCATTGTCTTAAAGAAGTTATCATATTAATAATAAATTTCTGTTACATTAGGTGTCCTTTAGATTATCACTTAATCATAAGTATCATTTATATGTAATGAGAAAATGAAGTTAAATTAATGTTAAATGATGTAAGGATTTTTTTAAGAACATAGAGATGCATATGGAGTAGTCTTAAAGTATTTTCATTTTCCTTAAATTCGTACAACTTACCATATATAGTAACTTTACAGTCTAACAAACAGATTAACTAGTATGTTATGCTAGACTTCCTTCAATATATCATATTTTGTCCCCACCAACAAAAAAGCAAAATTTATTATCTCCTGCAGAAGGACAATAATTTAAGAGTCATAACCATTATGACAACATTTTAGCTTTCAAATTATCTGAAGAGTGGTGTTGGGGTGAGGGTCTTAATTCAGTATACTCATATTCAAAATACCAGTGAATGTTTACCTGTATTAAAATAGAAATCAAGGAGTTGAGGCTGTAAATAATTTGAAATAAGGAACTGTAGAATTTGAATAATATCAGAAATTAAAATGAGTATCTATAAAAGATTCTGAGATTTAATGTCAGCTGAAGTACTCAATTCATTAGCAGTTTATTTTTTAAGAATTTAGGAATGTAAGTATCTCGTTTTATAAAACGTATTTCTGACACTTTTACATGTCCTGAAAATTAAGAAAGTAATCATTAGGAAAGAGCAAATTGAGTACACGAATAACATTTTTTTAAAAATTGTAGTCTGTCCCACATTTTAAAAACTGGAAATATTCATTCATCCATTTGATATCATAGTATTTAGTAAATCAGTTGATTTTAATTAGCTTATCTCCTTTTATGCGTGTATGTTCAGTATACTAACAAATTAATAGAAATAAGTCTGATGAAATGTGAAACTAATTCATCTTTAACTTATGCTTTAAATACCATTTCTTATGCTAAATTTTATTGAAACAATGTTAATACAAGTACAGAAGAAGTTCAGACTTATTTGTATCACAGGAGATTTCTCTTAGAAGTTGAATTTATTGTTTTATTATATGAAGAAAAATATTTTTTAACATTTTTTCTGTTTGAATGCCTAAGAACAGATGCACACACATATGTGATCTGTATTGTCACTATGTTTGTGTATACAAACAAGGCACAAAATTTCTTCCCTTTCAAAAGCTCTTTTATTGTTTTCTAAGTGCTGGATGGACTTTGATATTTCTCACGGTTTCCTGAATGAGTAGCATTGTTATTCTTACAGTATGACCTAAAGCTGCCTCTGGCACATGGTCACTGAATCTCTGAAAATATCACCACTAATGGCAGATTGCCTTTTTTTGAAAATGGGAATAAAATTTCTCCTTTTACTATACTCCCAGACATTATGTAGGAATAGGAAATTACATTAGAGAAGAATTTCAGTTTTTCCCTCCAGAAAGGTATAATAAATAGAAAAAAAAATATGAACCCTAGAAAAAAACTTGCAAAATGAAACAGATCTTTTCCTTTCATAATGTGGTCAACTGACATCTGTTTTGTGATTCTTATAAGACACAAGAATTCCATCCTGGTAATGTTCCCTCCTAAGATCTCAAATCTTTATTTTAGATGGCTTTAGAACATCTTGGCAAATATGTAACAAGCGATAGTAGATAAGTGTGTGGCTGAGGATTACTGTTCAGTAAGCTGTGGATATTTTTTGCCATCACTCTTAAAATGTTATTTCTATGTATTGACTACATGCATTATGGCATAACACATCTACTCTTGGATTTTTACATAACATACAGGATAATAGGAAATTTTCCTTTGGAAATAATTTACCTGTTTTTTCCTGCTGTTTGGCAGTCCATTCAGTCCCATAACATGTAGTTAATACCCATTGTTACCTACAAATTACAAAGCAGGCTGCCAGGCTGCAAGTGCAGAAACACTGTTTCCCCGTGAATATGTTACAGCTGAAAGACGGCAATGTTAATTCATGTAAAGAACAGCCTAGGTCAGCTTAGCAGATTTTCTAGCCAAACATACAATTCGGTTAACAGGAAATTATAGCATTATTGACTTCAAGTGCTGATCTGTGGTCATTTCAGAGTGTTCCATTACCCCCTCATTACCAAATCTGTTAAATGAATGCTGCACAAGTTGTTTTCTGTTTTGTCCTCCTCCCCTCTGCCCCCATCTTTCTTTCCAGCAATGGTACAGCAATTCCATGAAAGTCATTTGTGTGTGGTTGGCTGATAGATTAGACCTTCAGCTTCATATTTACCAACTGAAGACGCTCATCAAGATTGTGAAGGTAAACAAAATGTGTCTAGATGTGAATTGCCCACCAAGCTATACAGAATAATGGCAAGAAATTGACATACAAGAAAATGGTATTTGATATAACTGAGTGGATGTAAGTACTTTAAAAACATCACTTTCAGCAATGATGTGCTGCTGTTTGCTTCCATTTTCAGTTAGATTACTAAATAAATATAAATGTATCTTTTTGCACTAACAAAAAATATTTTGTTATCAAGTAATCACATTTTAAGGTAATGTACATTAAGACCCTAGCGCATTTACCTGACTGTAGTAGGTCCACAATAATTTTGTATGACTTTTCTTGAGTATAGAAATGTTTTCTCCTAATGCATTTCCTTCATATTTATTAGGATCATATATCATTATGAGGGCTTTCGAATTGTATTTGCCAATAGGATAAGGAGCATCTCCTTTATTCTGTTATATACTGATACGAAAGTGATACATTATCACTGCCTGAATTCTTTTGGAAGCATGCCCCTTCTTATCTGTAAGAGATGATCAGTTTGAGTGTTGGGTACCATCAAAAACTACTAACAGATATCATTTCAGTTCAGCAAGGCCATTTTGGTTTTTGCTCCTCAAGAGAAAAGGTAATAACATACATGTTATATTTAGTGAATAGGGGCTTTAAAATAATATATTTATTCAACATGATTTTTGACATTTTGTAAATTCTAGTAGAATATTTACTCCAAGAATAACTTTTTTTAATTGAGAAAAATCCTACCTTATGGCTAAAAACATAACTCTAGGCTATTGAGAATCAGCTGTTCCTTTAAACAGATGACCTTTACTTCCATTTTAGCACCATTTATCAAAGTGATACATAAAAATGTGTATGTGCATATATACGCATGCACATACACATAGGCACCTATATATGTGCGTGTGTATATATGCACATACATATTAATGTATATGTGGATATGTGTGTGTATATGCGTATATGTACACACACACACATAGACACAGTGATTCTCAAAGTGCCATTCCTGGCCTAGCATTATCAGCATCACCTGGGAACTTGTTAGACATGCAAATTCTTGGACCTTACCCTAGACCTGCTGAATCAGAAACTGAGAGTGGGGCCAGCAATCTATATATTAACAAGCCCTCCAGATGATATTCAAGTTTGAGAAGAACCACTGCGTTACATCCTTAAAGGAAGTTTCCACCCACATTAAAATATTTTCCATCATTCTCTTGGTTCCTGCAGTCTAACTAGAATACACATTCTTTTATGCCATAGACGCACACATTATCGCAGATTAGAAAGATCCACAAATCGGAAAGTTCTGTTCTAAAGTAAGAAATTGGCAAATCTGGAAGAGAGAACCAGATCTATAATGTCCCAGTAATAGCAATCATGATGAGTCATAAATAACATGTATAATTATAGCCACCCACTAATTTTTAATACTATTAAACACATTACATTTCAATGCACAAAATACCTTTGATCCAGAACCCTTCTTACCAGCTGTTATGTATTTTACAAGGAAACTGAAAGCACACTGTGATACATTCATATTTGCATTAGTTTCTCCATTGTTTCTTCCTTGTTTCTATCAGTATGACTTAGAGAGCTTTCAAATGAAGTTTGTTTTTCATAGAAGAGAATCAGGATAATCTGTCTTTACCTTCTAAATATGTGTACGTGTTAAGGTTTCAGTCTACACTGTGACTAATATTGGGATTAGCTGGTTACCCTTATGATCAGCCATATTTTCAAGCCAATGTCTACTGTGTTCAGAATGTGAGAACTTACATATTCAGCTGATTGGTATTGCTAGATTAAGGTCTTTACTTTGTTGTTAGAATAAAAATATCCATCTTTTATTAACCCATCATTTTTTTCTTTCAAAGTTATTCCTTTTCTCACATTCAGACATCGTTACAGTTAAAGATCAAGCACCAGTGAATATTTTAGCAGAAAAGAAAAATAATCTCATAAATTACATGATGACATTTCCATTGTACTTGAAGCCAATCAGTTTATCTTATTTTAATATATTCTTCATAATGACTACCAATAGTCAAGACTGATAAATATGAAATTAAATTTCATGAATATGTTTGACTTTCCATGTTTTGTTTTCCACAAGCAAGTCCCCAGACTCAGTGAAAGCTTTCTTGGGCTGATATATTTAATCAAGTCCTAGGGATTTATGTAATAATTAAAAGTGATTATTTCCACAATGAAAATCAGGATGAATTAATAATTTAATGTTCTAAATATTTTTTCCTACTTTGAGTATAAACAGACTTGAACCAATTTCATACAAAGCTTCGTCATTCTTCAGAACCTATATGGTTATGTTTATAATGATCATTTCCCAGTGAATTTAAGAAGCTGTTAAAATAGCCCATGTATAGCATTGTGAAGGCCCCTGAGTAGGCTTTGCTTCCATCCAGATCACTTAGACTTGGCCTCATGTTACAGCAAAGTCATGCGTTCTGCCCAGGAGTCAAGCACTGGCAGTCTAGTCCTTACTGCTCACAGGCATTTTCATTCTTCTGTGCCCATGGAGACCCAGATGCCGTCAAGATTTATGTGATAGCCAACTTTATCCCACTTAGACATTAATTGGTTCATTCATGTTGCTCACTAAGAGAAAACAAATTCCCGTAACATTTTCACACAATATTTAGAACTAAGAAATTATTTGCAAAGTTTTAACATCAGACTTATTTGGGGAGGGGAAAAATAGAATCCTCAAATCAAACTGGCTGATGGGTTGGTGTTCTCCCTAGTGGCCATATGACATTTAGAAGCAGTTAACATAAATCAGCTGCCTCTTACTAGGAGAAAAGAAGACAAGTGAGCAGTGCCCCATGGCCGGCACTTGTCCTAAATAAGAGCCAAGCAGACTTGCATTGGCAGCCACAGAGGATGTCCAAGTGTCGGTAACATTTTATGAATTCTAAAAAGACAGCGAGATTGCAAGGATACCTGCCCTTCAGCTCCCCTAACTGGTTCTTGCTTGCTAATAAAATAAGGAAGTGGAGTCTTAATTGTATATAAATTAGAAAGCCTTCAGGACTGCAAATCCACAATAGAAATCTGTCCTGGCCAACTTATTGATAATTAAGGTAAGTCTAAGGAAAGTCATTCCAATAAAATAAGAAAGTAGGACTCACAAACTCAGTCTGTAATTGTCAGTGGAACAATAATACTAAATAAATAATAAAAATTATATCAGATACATCATCTGTAGATGAATATTTTGTGTTTTTGATACATTTTTAACTATTACACTATTATAGGCTTGGACACAAATCTGTATAGTAATAATACCATGTATGTCAACTACCACATTCTCGAGGCAAAACTTACCTTTCAGGGTTATTTCACGGGTTCTGATGCAAATTACCACAAATTTTGATGTAAGAGAGTACCACCTTAGTAATAATAAGCTTAATAGCTTAGAAAAAGAATATGAGGATGGTGGTTGTGTCTTAAAATATTACAATCTAAGTGAAAATAGTTTTGATCATTTAAGAAAAACAACACTCTCTGAAGCTAAATTTTACTTGCTGTTGAGATACCAACTTCAGATACTATACAGCATTCCTCACAGTTCAGTTTATTTTGGGGCATGTGGTAGAATTTTCAAATATGAATTTTATTTATAACAAGTGATTATCCAAATGAAAAAATTATTATTCATCTTCCATACTTACTTTTGGCATATCAGTTCTGAAACTTGATGTGATACTGTGGGGCATAAGTCAGATGAAAGAAGACGGGAAGGTTTTACTGAAAATACCAATGGCCCAACTACGTTGTAATGGTTCTCCTCCTTCCCAGAAGTCTGTTAGTAGGCCAGGTGTGATATCAAGGGGATTAAGATGCCATCCATTAGCACTTTCTAGCTCATGTGAATAAGCAACTTCAGCTCAACTTTCTGAATATTATCTTTTCCTTCTGTGTCGAGTGAAGTCAAGCATCCTTTAATGTTAATTTCCAACTATTGGAGTTGTAATATTGAGCCATGAAGTACAACATTCATTCTCCTTATTTGACTTTTTTCATCTATTAAGTGCAAACAAACAAACAAAAAAGACTACTGGCAATCATTTAGAACAGAACAGTGGCACATTGGTATGTACTGGTACTTTTAGGCCAGTCCATTGAAATTTGACTGTTTGATACTCTAAATCTAACATAGGACAGTAAAAACATCTTAAAAGATATTTAGCATTAGAAATAGCCTTAGAAGTGCCCCTACAGAGTGGGATATCTTCATTTCTTATTTGCTTCCCCATTGAACTAATTCTAGACTTTTCCTACAAATTTAAAAATCAGTAATAAAATGCCAGTCTTGCTTAGTCATAGAAAAATCGCATATGAAGACAATTTCACTTAAGGGGAGAAGTGAAATTAAGAGGAGCTTTGTAGGTTATGTATCTTAAGTGCCACAGAACTCGGAGTTCTGTTGCTTTGTTGTTGTTTTTAAGAATCACTGTATAAACAATAACATGGCATTTGTTCTATTTTTGACATAATACACCAAATTATAATTTACTGTTTCCCAAAAAAATATAAATGTGTTTTATTAGCCAATCTATGGAAGCTCTGTGCCAGAATTTGACACTTCACATTCCAATGGAATTTCGAAAGGAAAGGGCAAAATTCGTACAGACATTTGGGTGTACACAAATTTTTACCCAGTGGTACATATAAATAAATTTTATAATTCACAAATGCTGAAAATGCAAACTTCTTTTATTGATAACAGGATTAATCCTCTCCTTCCACATACCTCCCCAAAAAGCTAATGCATTTTATAAAATGTAATGTATTTTTCAGTATTGAAGGAAAGTTTCCTCAATTGAAAAACTAAGAATTCCTTCATATTAAAAGTGTGCATAAGTACATATCATTTTATCTTTGCAAGTTATTCAAATAGTAAATTCTGTGCAATTAGTAATATTTGGGGGGAAAGCTCATTTGTCATCAGATAGTCACAACATTTTGATCTATTCATAGTGATTGTAGTTTGAATAGCACTATCCAAAGTCTCATTTCATTTTCTCCTCAGAAATACACCAGCAAGATGGTTGACATGGGCAGCTACAATCTGAATCCATTAGTGGATTGTCCAAGATCATTTTTGAAATGCCAACTGATTGCATATACATATAGACATACATATACGCATCTATATGTGTTATCCATAAGTTATCTAAGCAAATTCTCTCTTCTTCCTCCAGAAAACCTATAGGGACTTCCGACTGCAGGGAGTGTTGGAAGGCACACTGAACAGTAAGACCTACGATACTCTGCACAGGCGCTTAACAGTAGAGGAGGCTACAGCCTCTGTTTCGGAAGGAGGAGGACTTCAGGGCATTACAATGAAAGACAGTGATGAAGAAGAAGGCTGATAACGCACAGCTCTGAGCAAGAGAGGAGGACCTTGACGTTGTTTATTTTGTACCTTTCCTTGATTGTTTCCTTTCCGCTGATTGTTTGGACCAAATAAAAATGCTTGTATTTCACTCCACATTTAAAAAGTAAACCTGGAAGCAGAGTGAAAGGGGAAAATACCAAGTATTTTTTTGAAGAAGATCAGCCTCTTTTCTGTGTAACTTGACCTAAAATGAGCTTTGGCTCCATGTGCGATTGGAACATGAGCTTTTTTTTTTCCGGAAGATTTGACTTTTTTTTCTGTAATCACATCAAAGTAATGTCCTGTGTGTGAAGTGAGATATGTGTTTCTCATAACACAACATTGTGAGAAGCCATTTCTGATCACTGCACCAGCTCTATCGTACCCTTGTTAAAATAATGTGTACCTGGCAGTTTATCATTTGTGTGCAAGATTTGTTTCATAGTTAATTACCATTGTTGTGAGGTGTGTAAAAAACTTTAACCTTGGTTCCTAATACTCTGAGTTGGCCTGCAGGAGTATTCCTGGGCTTAAAGGACTGCCAAACCCAAATATAGACTAGACTATCCAGTGGGCTTGTGTCTTGTTCTATTCTGAATATTTCTTTTTTCAAGTGTAAAAAATCCCTAAGTATGGTGTAGTAAGTGTCCTGCCATCAACATACCATATTCTTCTACTTCTCAGTGTAACAGCTTACAGGCAATAAAAATCCATTTGGTCACAACCCTTTCTGTATTTATTAGACTTGTATAAATTAAATGCAGTAAAAAATGTTTGCAGTATTACAAACATCCCAAGAATTTGGCTCCATGTTTTTGTTGTTTGTTTTGTTTACCATCAGATGAATAAAAGATATTAACACTGCTTTGTACCTAGTAGACACACACATTTGTTAAAAGGAAATAGTTACTATGGCAGCATATTTCCGTCGCAAAGGTAATGTTGACCATATACTCATATATTGTGTATTATTAACATTAGCAATTAGTGTTAACTAATAATGAGTAAGTAATACTAGGAATGCTAGTAATGTTAGCTAGCAATTGCCCTATTATTTCTTCTCCCAAAGTATTTTCTTGCTATAGTTTTGAAAGACATGATAGTATTATGCTTTGTAATTTATGAATTTTGATTTTTGTATTTTTTCCTAAAATATAACTGGCATCTTGTGCTACTACATTCATAAGTAATTTTTAAACCGAGTAACTTGGGCCGGCCCCATGGCTTAGTGGTTAAGTGCGCGCGATCCGCTGCTGGCGGCCTGGGCCCTGAACCCCAGGCGCGCAGCAACGCACCGCTTCTCCGGCCATGCTGAGGCCGCGTCCCACATACAGCAACTAGAGGGATGTGCAGCTATGTCATACAGCTATTTACTGTAGCTTTGGGGGAAAAAATAATAAAATTATAAAAATAAATAAACCGAGTAAATTAATGCAAAATAAGTGGAGATATCCCTGAACTTATGTAAACTTAAATTCTGAGACTTTGGAAGTGGTAACAACTTCTTGGACATCCAAATTCCTTCTCCCGTGGTGGTACAAATGGTAACTAGGTACCCAGACTAGCCCACAAAAATCTCTCTAATCCAGAGTTGTTAGATAGTATTGTTTTGGCTCAATTTCTGAGTCCTAGGGGTAAGAGACCCTGTGATACAAAATAAACATGCAAGGAGATTGCCTCCCCTTTCCTGCATTAGAGACTAACTACCGGCTCAGTATTGTTGAAAGGCAATTTGGGAATGCTCTCTCCCTTCTCTTCTCCACCCTCACGCCCGATACCATCCTTTCTTCAAGCTCACGGGTGTCCAGTCATGCTACCCTCAACTCCCTCACGGGTGTCCAGTCATGCTACCCTCAACTCCCCGCTGGTACCCTCCCCAAGCTTGCTGCTGCACAGCTCAAACGAGTCTATACTTGGAAAGTACCCGCCAATCTTTTCCTGTAAATAAAACGTCTGTTCCTTGATGCAGCTCATCTCAGAGTGACTGGCCATTTTGTCCTGAAGTATGAATGACTGATGACCCTCCCTTAGCCGTATATGTACATTCAAAGAAATATCTAGCTGGTAGAATTCAGAAATAAAGGGGAGAGCATGTGTTGCAGGGGGAGGTACTGGGGCCAGCAGGAGGGTCTTGCTGCTGGCCTGACCTTGTTAACCTGCCTACTGGCCCTCTTTGCCCGTCAGCCTCTTGTAGCTTCTCTCCAGATTTTGGAGTTCTCTGCTCCTTCCCTTCTATGCCCAAGAGATTTCTGGAAGCTCTATTCCCCACTCCAACTTCCACAGCGAGGACAACAGCAGTCAAAGGCAGGTAATGGAGAGGCTTACAGTTTTATACGGAGTAACTGGACTAACCTTGGAGCCACAGAAAGGTGTGTAAAAAGAAATTTATAAAGTAACTCTGAAAAAGACTGAAAAGTCGTTTTGGGGTTTTTGCCCAGAAATGCTCCTCAACATAACTACAAATTGCTTGAAATGACTTAATAATTGTTCATTGGTGTGTCTAGCTGCTGGGGTGAATGCGGAAACATCTATCTATTAAAGGAAGCCAAGTGTTATTCTTTAAAAAGTAGTATCTTGTTAAAAAGTTTCGTTGAAAACCTAACAAGTCTTGCTCTACCCTCCTAAATAGTTTGACGGAAGGGCAAAAAAAGTACATTCTTCAGAAAGTCTGGTCAGTGTTGCAGGAGAAAATAATTCATACAGTCTAATTGTCCAGCCAGAATGGGTTTATTAAACAAGCCGTCTAGAAGGAGAGTTCTCCAAACATTGTTGGAGAAAAATAGTGATAATGCCTTTTCCCGGAAAGGGAAAGAACCACACAGAGCTTAATGTAAAACTCTCGACTCCAGCTGTGGGTCGTTCTTGCATTCACGGATTTTTCCACTTGAATTCCCTTTAGTTCTTATTCATTGTCCCTCTCTCTGGAGAAAGGATTTCCTGCTACTTTTGCAATAAACGCCAGTGCAAAGTGTCTCGGGGGCTCCCACCCCGCCCCTCAAGGTCGTAGCGGGGCCTGGCCTGGCGCTGCCCTCCTACGTCCCGCGGCGACCGTGGATGAGAGGGTCCCTGAGCTCCTGGAAGGTGCGCCTGGTGGGAAAGAGGTCATTCGGCCGTCGCCGCTCATGGAGCCCCGAAACCCCTTCCCGTTGCGCGGTCTGCCTCCCGAGAGGGGCACGCCCCGAGCCAAGTCCCGTAGGGACTCCCGGCCCTGGCGCCAGGGACAGGAGGCCAAGCTCACCGGACGTTGGTGGGATCCCCGCCCGGAGAGCAGACCCGGCCTTCGGAGTCCCTCCCGCCACGCGTTTAAGTAGAAGGACACGAAGAGAGAGATTAGAGCAAAAGCTTGGTGGCTTTTATTTCTTACTCCCAAAACAGAAAATGGAAATTTCCCGGTCCAGGTCCCTAAAGGGAGGGATGATAGATCGACGTTCCTGGAAGATATTCACGCGCCGCTGGCGGCGGAGCATCTATTCGCCGGGATAGCAACCGAGTCGGCCCCCCCGCGCTCGGCGCCGCTCCCTTCACTGCAACCCGCGGCCCCGCCGACAGCCCTGGACCCATCAAGTGCCGGAGCACAGCGCTCATGCTGTCCTTACATTGAGTGTCCCTCCTCACCCTGCTGCCCCAGTACTATGCAGGGGGATGCGGTGGGGAGTGGGTCTCCTTTTCCCTTCAAGTCCTGCTCGCTGGATAGGCAGGAACATTTGGGGAAGGCCCGCGGCTCAGTTGGCCCCTGTGCTTTGCTGCAGATGGAGTCCAACCCACGGGCCGGGGAGGCCGGGCAAAGGCGAAGAAGAGCGGCGACCCCGGAGCGGCGACGTCCCTGAAGCGCGCGGCTGGGCGGGTGCCCCCGCAGGGAGATCAGGGCAAGGCTTTCCCCCAGGGTTGGCAGAAATATGGGATGCAGAGCGGCCTTAAGCTGCTCCTCTCTGTGACGCTGAAGTAAGATTTTTAAGGGAGCAGAGGCGGGTACGAGCTGTGAACGCATAGCTCTGAGCCTGGGTTCAGAAGTCACGAGTGACAGTCAACCGCGGCCTTTATCCTTTATCCGTGTGCAATATTTGATCGTTTTAGGGGAGAAGTAGGCACTGGAATGTGAGCTTGTACTACTGAGAGAAGAGGAGGTGAGAGAAGAAGAATTCGATGTTTCCCAAATGAAGACCTCTTATTTAAGAACTACCCAGAAACATGTGCACGTGTCACAACATGGGGAACCGTAAAAAGCCGGGGTCTTAGAAACTGAAAAGCCTGGATTTGAGTCCTAACAGCTACACTTCTTCCCCGTGTCTGGGCTCTGTGTCCTTGGGCAAGTTACTTAACCTCTCTGAAATGAGCACTTCGTAAGGAAGGTAGTTGTAAGAATTAGAGGCATGTAATAAGTTGTGGCCATTATTAACTATTTCTCAATGTGGGGATGGACTCCGAAGAAACCACGGGAGGCCAGCCTCTGCAACATGCACCACCGCTCTCACGGGCCATTCTCTCGACTTTGGCACAGGGTCCTTCTAGATCACAATCAGCTCCACGAATCTTCAGCCCTGCCCCTGGTGTGGCCGTGGATTGGCTAGAATTGTCCAGTCCTGGGGTTATATATACGGCCAGCCTAGTGGGAGGAGAGGAGGAGACCGGGAGGGGCAAGCCAGCCCCAGAAGGGCCGGCATTGCAGAGAGCGGTTCCCGGAGCTGCGGTTGGGAGGGGAGGCAGCTGAGACATGTCTTTGGGTCCACATAAGGTTGATGTTGGTCAGGGGCTCTGAAACCGGATAGGTATGATCTGAGAGGTGCCAGACCACAAGCAAGGAATCTCTGGCCTCAGCCTGTGCCCGGTAGGTTGAGTTCAAGAGAATATCAGAGGCAAATTGGTGTTCATTAATGTTTTCCAAAGTTTAAGGAGGCCTAGAATGGCGTCCTACATCTCTGACCAGAGGTGCGCACACAGTAAGCGCTTGGGAAATGTGAAGCGAAACCGAGTGAGAGGCAGAGGCAGAGGCAGCAAGCCGCCCCAGCATGTACCAAGCCGAGGCTTGGCAGCCGAGCAAAAATCGCAGGCGCTTAGGGCGACAGCCAGCACCGAGTTCTGCCCCGGGGTGCTGAACTGACAGCCCTTCTAGGCTGTCAGGAAAACGCCAATGGCGCGGAGGCCCAGCGCGGGGCCGAGGGCGCGCCCCAGGGTCGCAACCCAGCACATCCGTGGCGAGGAAGACGCGCGACCTGGTGGTGCTGGGGCCAGGCACGCGGTGGCCCTGGGGAGGCAGAAACTGCACGCTCACGAAAGTGGAGGATAGCGCGCCCTGCTTTGGGCTGGGACTAGAGCTACTTTTTTAACCAGAGGGATGTTTCCCAGCCCCATCACTCCTTTAAGGTAGCCTGCCTGCAGTTTCTGAGTTCCAGACCTAGGGAACAGGATTTCACACACACACACCGCACTCCACAATACCACGAGGCCATTAATCTCCCTGTACTTTGCAACTTCACAGTAAGGGTGGCTGTATGTTGGGCTTATTGGTGGGGGGAAAAAATCAGCAAATAAACATATTCTAGACTTGTCCAAAATCTCCTTCCACCTTGTCCATCCCTAGGATCAGTGGTTCTCAGGTCAGAGAGGAAGAGTTGATTTCAGATTCTAGAACCATCAGGCGGAGTAGTTACTCTTTCCTGGGCCCTTATGGAGCCCCTACACTCAGTACCTTTGCAAAAATTAGAAGGGATGTGTCAGATTATT